AGTATATTATTTTACCTTACTCTACAGTAGGGAAATTGCTATACTTTTGTCCTCATTTCTACACTTGCAAGCAGGGCCTAAAACTAACTTTCACATCTGCCAGTGGCTAATAACTTGAGAAAATTGACCGGCCATAAATATTTTTCTCTGTACCTGTACAGTATTTTCTCTGTGCGTGTCTGTTAATTTTAGGCCATGCTTGCAAGAGATAAAACCTTGAGCTTTTATTTTGGCGGAAACTTCGGTTGAACTTTTATTTTGGCGGAAAACTCCAGCTCCTGTGAAAACAGGTTTACAAACATTACTAATTGAATGAAATACTGTAAACATTTGCCCATTAAAATGTTGAAAATTATGCAAATGTGCAAATTATGCATAACTGGTGGCCGTTGCGTTCCCAAACGCGCTAAACTCACAGCACATTCAATAACGGAGTTCACTGCAGTCACCGTGAACAGAGCCGCTCTGAGACGCGGAAAACACCGCATCACGAGCAATGTGCGCCGCTTCACTTTGAAACAAGCAGCGCAAACAGACTTGATAAGTCATATTACGCTTTCGGTTTTAATTCGTTTGACCGATACTTGCCAAAGCAATGGCGTGAAACACAACGTTAAAGAACTTTTATGTTATAAGTATACATATATCTTCGGTTTAGTATGAAACTGTGTGGGGCCGCCACAGTCTAGTTAATGGATGGGAAACACTGAATTGATAAAAACTCTACAATATATGAAAAATGTTACTATAACACAAGCAACAACAAATAGCTAAAAAAAAAATGAATGAGAGGAAAATTTCAAATGGTAACCATATGCTAAAATGTTTTCTGTCTATGTTCTCTAAACAAAAACATTACATGAACTTTAAATGAACTTCAATTGTGTCCATATTTTAAAGCTGTATATTCTGCATCTACAATTGTCTCCTCTTATATTTTCTTCACTCCACCGATTGAACTTCATGCCTATATTCTCTCCTTCCTTTCTTCCATCTCTGACTTGAATTTCCTGACTGCAGTCACATTTCTGTTTTCTAAAGAAGTAAATTGTCTAATATAAAATAACCAGTGAATGTCAATTATTATTATTTGTTTAAAGTATGCTAAAGTGTACTTCTTTTTCCACAAGGGAATAAAAAAGATAAAAAAAGGCAAGATAATTTCTTAGTAAAAGTTCAACTATTCAATCTACCTTGTACATTGTTTGCAGAACCACACTCTCAAAAAAAGGTACAAAAGCTGTCACTGGGGCGGTGCCTTACACTTTTGTACCTCATTAGGATTGGACTAAAGGATGCATATTTGTACCTTTAAATGAATGTACATATTATTCCCTCAAGTGTATATTCGTACCTAAATATGTCGAGAGCATTTTGAAAGCATAAGGAATCGTCTGTATGGTATTTTGATGTCATACACCGATCGGTCTGCACATGCAAACAAAGCCAAAACATAGATAATTTAGGCAATATATAGAAATCCTGGCCAGGACGCGTCCTGGGAAAATGGCACGTATGGTCACCCTATGTAAAGCAAGAATATGTATAACGTAGAAATGGAGTCAAAAATATGTATTTAATATGATAATAGCACCACCGTGTGGTTATTTTTCTACTGAATTATAGTTGACTAAAGCGTTGCTCATCTTGGTGTCACACGATCTCCACTCATAATAATAAAAGCACCATATCGTTTTTTTTTTTTTACTATAAAAATGTAATTACAGTTTACTAGCCTACATATTCTTCGTCATAAAAATAGCAGTGGGCTAAACTCGAGTTATCATTACTATTTTAAAACAATAGTTGTAGATCTAGTAGTAAGGCACTACTACTGTTTCACACACTGACATTTTAACAGGCTAAATAATAATTAGCAGGAAAAAAAAACAACTTGCAAAATATGCTAATTTTGATTTTTTTATTTTACTAGGGTCTTTATCATGTTGTGTTAGATTTAAACGTGAACAGACATAAACATTTCCACACGTCTGTGCGTGCTTTCTACCACACTGATTTGTATGTCACTGAAACATTTACATGTTTTCACTACAGAAATTAGTATGGACTTAATGCAAATTATGTAAAGGTATTTAAATAGCCTTTAACAAACAACGTAAAATTGCCACGAGGCACGATCGTGTCTCGTTTAAAACAAGCTATAACTTTTCTTCCACCAATGTTCTTAAAATAACGTTAGTCATGCAACAAAACAATAATTTTACCTTCCGTTAACTTCTATCATCTGGCAATGGAAAAGCCTTTGCTCTGCGCCACGGCATTTTGCGTACTCGCATCATCTTTCTATTGGACAACACAGCTGTCATTCAACGCGTCATGCACTAAAATTTCCCGCGCGCTGTAGTGGTTTCAAGATCGGTTGACGTGCGTATTTGATCTAATTGGCATTCGGCCAAGAGAAAGAGCGACACATGTGGGCCAAAGATTAGGAACGTTTGTATAACATACAATTTACACCGAAACACAACCATTACAATATAGCAGGGTATTGTCTGTTTGAAGTTACTGAAACTTTAAAACCGCCACGGAAAGAGTGAAATTGGACCACTTCAAACAGGAAAGCTAAAAGTGA